CTCTTGGATGATAATGAACTCTGGACAATCTGCTCAGGTGAAGACAAAACCGAAAGCAACCGAAATATAATTTTACAGAAATAGTAATTAAATGGAGAGAGCAGGTAAGCAAAAAATGTTTTAAGAAATGTTAGCAATAAGGAACAGTTATACTTAGAATCAGAAAGTGACAGCGGAATTTTCTAGAACAGCTAAAGTGAACGGGGGGGCTCGGAAAACTTAACACTCACAGGGCATATCAATGTTAAGAGAAATGAGGAGAATGCAGTGAGTTTGTGACAATGGATTTCGTAACAGGGATTGGATGGATTGGCAAAGCGATAAACACAGCGATGAACAACAAGGGATAGGAAGTTGTGGAGAGTCATAATTGTCCACACCCTGAATCAAAAAGACAAACAGAAAAAACTGAATTATCAGTCCTTTTATATGTGTTTCAAGTACATTTTCTAACCGAGAAATCTATAAAATAACGTTAATGTTGAAACAATTCGGACAACTGATAGGTTTGGTTTGGTTTGTTTTACGGCATATCAATCTCAATGGGTTATTTAATGTCGACAAAATTTTTATTACTGCTAATTATTTTGTTTTGTCAAAAATATATTTGTAGTTATATTTTTTCCTTCAAAAATGTATTGTTGGTAAGATTTTTTCTTCAGGAATTTATCGCTGGTAATATTTTTATTTTATTTCTTGTATTAAAACCTATTTTTACACTTTCATAGAGTTTTTTACTCCAGTTTACGGGTTAACTATTTGCCCATAGCTGGAACCCTAACAGGTGCTACCACCCCGTGTCATAGTGGACCTGGGAACACGAGCAATTAAGAGGTGGTTCCACGCTCCTCAAAACCCCCTGATCAGTGCCCTTCCTGTTGGACGTAGCTTATCGTGTTACCCAGGACACGGATGTAGTTTATTGTCATACCCAGGACGCGGATGTAGTTTATCGTCTTACCCAGGACGTGGATGTAGTTAATCTTCATACCCATGACGGAAATGATAGGCAGCTTCAAAGGCAGGGGATATAAAATTAGAGAAAATGGACAACAAGGAAGAGTTCTTCAATGACTCGACGATATTAACCACTAGGTATTGACTTAAAAAAAATTATCAAGTTACATTTTAAGCTCCACATCGTTGTTGAATGAAAGACCCCTCAAATTATTAGTAAGTGGCCGTAAAAGGAGGTAGTTTGAAGGGGCTATATCAGCAGAATATAGTGGGTATGGAAGAATTTGCCAACCGAGCACTTTCTTTGTATCCACGAATAAACTTCCCTCTGAGCAAGTAAGCTGACAGCAGTGAAGTGGCGCTAGTTTCCCTCTGTCTATGCATGTGACTCCCACGCGGAGTGTGTCGAATTTACTTATTGCGTGAAGATGAATAGCAATTGTAATATTAGCTCCTGCTATCGTCTGAGCTGAATACCTATTAATCTTGTCTGGTTCTACTTTAACAGGCACTGACAAATTTTTCTCATCAAACATAATAGGTCGGCCAGAGCGATAAGCTTCTGAGATTTCGACTTGCCCCTCCTTAAAACGGGAATACCATTTTTTGTGGTATTCTCTCTGTAATGAAGTTATCTACGTACACAACACATATGTCGCGGGCAGAATTGGCAGCTTTGTCATTTTGATTGAAAATGAAGAGATATCGAACATGCTCGTCCCTGTCTACGTGGCATTCCATCGAAAAGGTGTGTCTAATTTGAAATAAAAATTCGATAACGTTAAATAACAATTTCGATGAATGACTGGAATTACAAGGAAGCCAAAAAAAAAAAATGCTACAACAGATTACTCTTCGAGATCATTCGCCGAACTTCAGAAAAAAAAAAACCCAAAAACGGATATACTTAACAACCTAATCTTTAATGATGACATAACCAAATTCTTTTGCCATTTAAACATAAATAAAAAAAAAAAGTGACATCTATATTTTCAAAACTTAAGAAAAGCACATAATATTCAAGAAAAAAATGCGCAAAAATAACTGATGTCTATGACACCGGAAAAATATTGTTACATTATCTTTGACACTCAGAGCCGAAAGAGAGAGAAAAGAAGAAAAAAATGATCATAGAGATAGATTATAAGACAATAAAATTACGTAAATAAGAATTAGACACAACATTTTACACATGTCCACATACATATACACGGTCGTGCAGGAATGGACACACCTACATATGCATGACTACCAACGCGTCCACACCAAAACACGAAAGAACAAAAAATAAACAGTAGAATCATCAATAAACTCCGCATAAATTATATTGAGACTTAATAAATAAATAATGAAAATGATAAAATCGGGAGACAAACGGTGATAACTACTGACGAGTGGCATGAATGATTGCAAAACGTATCTGTCTACGAAATCCTGGCGTCTGGGTATTCAATATGACATCAATAAGACAAATCATATATATATATATATATATATATATATATATATATATATATATATATATATATATATATATATATATATATATATACAGAGAGAGAGAGAGAGAGAGAGAGATTGCCTTGACAATGGAACGGAAATTTTTATTTTAAGTTTCATTTTCATGATTGAATTTGAATTGAAGTTACAATTTTGAAACATGGATAATTTCGATGTTGCCATCATAAAGTATTTTGAAAAAAAACAATCATAATTATACTATATATATATATATATATATATATATATATATATATATATATATATATATATATATGTAACAAATATATGGATATAAATCCGACAGTATGAAAGAAAAATACAGAAAAAAAAAAAATTCTGAATATGCATTATTAATGTTAAAATAAAGTCGACGTCGGACGTTTCGGTCTATTTAAGACCATCTTCATGGACATTTTCATTTAAACATAATTAACATTAAAACTTATAACAATTTAACACAAAAAGACGATGGACATAAGAGCCCAACTAATTCAGACAGATAACTGAAATTTTATATAGATCAGCGTTCTGTTTAAATATGATCACGTAGTCGTCTCGTGGGCGATGTTGTTAAGACGTATTCGAAGATGATTTCCAAAAATTAAAATATCAAAAGTCGAATGAAAAATTTTTATAAACAATTAAAGAAATCTCTTCCGTTGATGTTGGAATACGTAGTGATCAAATTGGTTCTTATATCTTCAAAAAAAGCTTGAAAGTCTTTCCCGTTACAATG